GAAAGTACAGAGGATGGTAGCAATGGGTAGCATAGAGTAGCATCGTGTAGACACGGTAGACGAAAGTACAGAAGATGGTAGCAATGGGTAGCATGGGGTAGCATGGTGCAGGCACGGTAGAAGAAATTACAAAAGATGGTAGCAATGGGTAGCATGGGGTAGCATGGGTCGTATGGTATATACAAGAGAGGAGCTAGATATAATATATTTCGCCGAAAGCAAATGGAGCCTCTACCTTTTGAACTGAGTTTAAATAGGGTTCCCCCCTTTGGTTCTCGTCACAGTCATTACAGCATGCTGAACGCTCCATGGCTGGATGGATGATCACCAATCATCAGATGCTGAGCGGCTTGATGACTGGATGGATGATTGAGAAAACACCGACAGTCTCGTAGGAAATTAGAAGAAGGTCGAACCTTCCATTCCGCTAGACACATGTCTTTGGAGTCCCATAGATCAGAAGGAGTCACTCCTTCCCCTCATAACCTTTACCTCTCCCCAGAATGACAGATTGGGGCCGGTAGGAAAGGCGTGAGGGAGGGAAGACGAATAGCAGTAATTTCTCTATTCCTGGAACATCCTCGTACGTCCGGCGAATGGAGGATACCCTGTCCCTGGGTCACTACACGTATTCGGCCACTTTCTCCTGGATTACCGAAAATGATATTTTTTCCCATGAAAGGCCAGGAAATTATTTTGCATCCCGCTCAATTTCGCCCTCTCCTTGATCCACTTCTGTATACAACATTTCCCGGTGTCGTATTAACGACCTTTAGCACGGATGCCCGACTCCCTCGCTTCCTGAATCACTTACATTTCTCTCCTGCCGTGTAACATCGCAGTGCTTTCCCATAAATTTTCAGATATTATGAAACAAATGTCAGAGTGGTTGATAGGTGCCCCATCATTGAAGGTGAGGACAGTGAATGAGAAACGAGGTACGACCGGCTTTACCCCTTACTAATCTCCCTTGTCCCTGACACCTCGCTACGTAATAATTGGGTGCGCTTTATACACGCGGAATATTTTTTTTCACATGAATTAGGAACTCAAAAGGGGGGTGCGTCTTATACACAGTGGGACACTATACCCGAGTAAATACGGTATCATGTTGGGACTCACTGGGCAATATGTTTGGACTTTAGGCGCCAAGGAGCCGCCCGGAGGTGATTCACTACAGCCATTTGCTGCTTTAATCTGGAGAATTCAGGGTATTTCCCCATTCGTTCAAATGCATCTGAAAATAAGAACATACAACAAAATTCAAGAAAGGCTTTGACAAGTGGTATTTTCCAGATGCATTTGACATCTGAGGGTATCCCTACAAAGGATCTCTAAGTTTACCCTGGATGAGGTCAAGGAGTCCACAGGCTTGAAAGCTTCTTTTTGCATTGAAGCCACCTCGCCCAAGACAAACAAATGCTGGGCCACATTGTCTGTCATTAGTGTTCGTATCATTTCCCGCATCACACCTGCCTCATGTTTCCCAGAGACTTTGCCATGGAATAATACCTGCAAGACATGAAATGTCAAAATGTTCGTGTGGCTGCAAAGAAAAACTTCATCATGAGTAGGTGTGGAAAACTCACAAGGGCATTCCTCTCAGATGAGTTCTTAAGGACATCACACAACTTAGTCACATCTTCCATGGTGTTGCATGGCAGGGAGTCCTTGTCCCTCAGGTCAATAGTCAGTCCACTTTAGGATAATATGAAAGTTTACAGGGATAAACACACAATGCACTTTTTGGCACCTTCCCTTGCTGAATATTATACATTAGTCAGAGGGAAATATCACCAGGCTTTGCTGCAAGAATTCCAAAATGTTCCACAAACAGAGTGACATCTACCTAAATACTTGTTAGTCGACCTTGGAACCTCTTCTGCCTCTCGGCAATCTCATTTAGTTTGTAGAGTATCTTGTATGCGACATCTAGATAGGGGATTTGTAAGTGAATCTCTGAATGCAATGATATGATCATTAGGGCCTTTCTGCTCATGGAATGAATAGTCTGGTGCAGAATGCATGCAGCCCTTTCATCCAAAGGTATGAATAGATGGTTGACAAGAGAATTACAGTAGGGCTGTCACGGTAACAGTTTTCAAAATATCGATGCATCGACCCGAACTATCGATAGTGTATCGATCCATCAGGGGGGAGAGGGGGGGGGGGGGGTGAGCAGGAGGATCCAATCTTTTCTCGTCGCGATCGGGCGGAGGTTTGACATCGTTTCTGGCCTCGATCGGAGGCAGGGTGTGTGCGGAGTGTATCGATGCATTTACCCGTCTTCAATAATCTCACGTTTGTGATCGGGGGTGCGGGGTGAAGGTGACCTTCGCAACGAGTAATGAAACCTACCATGCCTCCAACTATCGAAGATGATAATCATTCATCGATGGATGCATCTGGACAGCCCCAATTTTTTCTTATTGCCGCTAAGAATCAGTTGCCAAGCCCGTTCGCGTAATTTTATTTCTCTCTTTCTCTTCGTTCTGTACGGACTTCTTTGGATATTGGCGCCGGCAGATAGCAAACCTGCCGATGGTGCCATACATCGGTACAGCCCTAGAATAAGCGACGTCCATGTAAAAAAATTCACTTTGGGTTCACCTTAGGTAAAATGGCCCAAGGCAAGTTTTAAAAATTAAAAAACTTAATCCTGCATACTAAAGAGAAAGACAGGAATATAGAGAGGGGGATTAACCAATGTACGTTTCGAAACCATGAGAGTATAAAAACAGTCCACTTTCGCAGCATGCACCTGATGGGATCGAGCCAAGACTGAAACAGAAAAGAAAAAAATATTCTCGGTCTTCCCTCCCTCTCCTTTCCCACTTCCTGTCTCCGATCCAACTTTTTTTTTTCTTTCCTGTCTTACAAATAGTTCGTCCCAGCATTACCAGAATTTGATCGTGATGAGAAATTGCGAGCCCATGCGGGTCACGTCGCTTCTTCCTTTCACCGCACTGACGGACTGTATTGTACTGCACTCGCCTCAATCCGATGGGACGTTTCCCCTTTAAAATATTTTGCGGATACATCGCGATGGTCGAAAAAACTATCAATGCCTCCAACCATCGATAGTGATATCGATGCATCGATGTATCGTGACAGCCCTAAATAACAGCATGCAATTCTGGAAGCAAGGTTATTAATAACTCTTAGAGGGTGTTTTACATGGCAATGGGCACGATGACTGATGAAATGCTTCATACATAAAACCATACCATTTCTCAATACGTCCTGGAAGGCATCTTTTTCATTGGGGTTGCCCAAGAACTCTCCTCTCCCTTCTTGTTGCTTTTGCCTTCTTTGCCAGGTAAGAGTACTCTCATCAGAGCTGTCAGATTGTACAGTACACCTTGCTTGCTTGATAAGCTTGATCTGCTGGATCAGAGGTTGTGAGTCGTTTCTGATGTTCGTGAGTCAACGTGTGGTTTTTAGTAATGAAAGTAAGCGGAAATGGGTGGGGATGGCATTCCCACAAGCTTTCACAGATGGAGCGGGAACACTGCTCCTTTACTTTTCGCGGTCGCATTAAAAAGTCAAGACTGCCAATTCGATTAAATGAGTCGACCGAATTAGGCTTTTTTTTTAATATTTATAAAACTCCCTCAAGTTCCGTCTGAATACCTGCTTTTCTCTTAGTTTCACTGCATAGTCTTACAAAAGAAATTTGAATGTTTCAATTTGAAATCCGATTAAATGAAAACTTGTCGCAGGCAATCGTTTAAACACACTAGCAAAAAGAAAATGTGGTCTTTATTTTTTAAAAGAGACACGAGAACAAGGGCAACGCTATTAGGATCATGTAAAAAAGCGAGGGCCTCGAGAGGAGATGGAAAGAAAATGCATTGCGAGCTTCCAGTTAATTCCTAGCGATTACCGCCGCCCCGCCCAGCCTCAATAATAGCGTGAAATCCGGTCGACCTGAATGGATGGATCTTTGGCGTTGAACTGGATGGAGTCAAAAGGAGGGGGAAAGTCGCATTTCGATCTTGGAGAAAAGCTCGTCCTGTCTGGTTTCCTTCGATATCCAGACAGCATGAACCATGGAATAAAAACCTAAAATGCATGAAGGGTCGGCGTTGTATTTTCCTCTAATGTCCAACTAGAAGTAAGTGAAATGACAATAGAACTCGCATGCATCCCTGCGTATGGAATCTTTTTTAATAGCAAGTATACGAAATTTTACATGTTCATTATAGAAAAGGGGATTTCCCCGCAAATATTGTGCTAAAAACCACTTCAAGGCCAATGAAAATTTGCATGTCGATTCATCGAATGTCCTACCAGATGTTTTTCTCATTTGTTACTTTAAGACAGCATGGGAATCTCTTTTTTTTTTTACATTTCAAATTCCTTTAGAATACCGTGCTGATATTAGTTCATGAAAAAATAAACTGTCATTCCAAGGAATGTGTTCACACCGTCATTTCAAGCACCCCTGATTACCTTCAGAGTACCATCCTATTCCAGATGAGTCCTTAACACATACAATGACTCTCAATGAATCATGGAGCTTCCACTTTAGAAAAAAAACCTGCAGATTTTTTTTAAAAGAGAGAGGATAATGAGAGAGGGCGAGAGAAAAGTATCAGCCTCAACATCTCCTTGGCACGCGTTGACTAGGCTGAAGCTGGCACCAACACACAGACACCAAGTAGGGTCCTGCACAATCAGTTACTCCGTCATGGCCCTTGCAACACAAGCGATCCTTCCTTACTTTGAACGCAGTGCTTCTTCATCATAACTTTGTAACTACCCAAGCAGCATGTTTATGTAAACGAGATATAAAATTTTTGCAAAAAAATGTAAATTTCTTACGATTGCATTAAAATGACATCACGTTTACGTAAAATTTACGTTCCTATATTTACGTCACCAAAGTGTACGTGTATTTTACATAAACTAGACGTCACTCCATCTGACGTGAAGTACATGATATAAAGTTTATGCAAAATTAACACCACACCATCCATAAAGTTGCAGTACCAAGATTCCTCACTAGATGGAACCCTTGTTCCCTGCATCCTACAAATACTATTAAGTACTGGCTTTCCTGATATAGTATCAAATTTTCTTACCATCCTTCTACTTTTTATTGTGCAATCCATGAATATATATATGAAAATGTGAAATTACTATCTATTTTTAAAAAATAATATATGACTCAGAGAATCATTAAATGCTGAAGTTAAGCTTTTTATTGCAGCAGTGCAGGATTACAGCAGTGGATTAGGGAAGAGCAGAATCCCCGCTCCCCCAGTACTATATCTTCTCTAACCTTAATGGAACGAAAGCTCTTCTGAACATCTACTCCTTCTCCCAAGGTTCTGGTACGGGAGGAGGAAGCAGTAGGTCATTTTGGTACTCTTGAGTGCTGGTGAGGAGGAGTATATTCGTGTACTCATCCAACCACCCTAGAGTTCTGAAGTATGGAAAGGAATGGGAGATACAGAGTATCAATTCTCTTCGAAGATACTGATAAAATCGTTAAATACACATGAATGCTAGGGGGAAATTAACATGAATCTTACGTAAAATTAATGTAAATTACTTGCATCTAAAAAGAAAAGTGACGAAGATTTAAACCTTCAATGAATGCAACTATATAATTGGAAGACACCCCAGGGATGCGAAGCACTGTCAGTCTAACAACACATCAATTGGAAACAGTGCCTCTTCCAGAGAGAGCTACGAATGCGGGGTAGGAATAGGGAACTGAGACTGACAGAAGCCTGTTCGGAATGATTCCTTATTCAGGATCAGGTGTGACAACCACAGAGGCTTCTACAAGCACGTGCTTCCGAGCAAGCGATTCTCAACCTTCCTTCTTACACAAGGAGTAACTGCGCACCGTAGGCAAGCCTACCCTCACTCATTCCAGTGTTGTGGTTCTCTTCCCTTTCTCCTTTCTCTCGTTCCTGCATTGGACTTGTGGGAATTTGAGCCTAGCCAGCGTAGGCAGGCAGCGCCGTGCCTACTCTGGACGCATAATCTCGTTTTGCTTTTATCTCGCAATGGAAAAAAAAAAGTATTTCCAGCTGTGCTAATCGAAGAATATTAATTTGAGAACTCTGATTTTAAACTGGGTAGGCACTGCCTACCCTGACGAGCCGCCGCTGGTCCTGGGTCCTGTCAACTCTCAAATCTCACGGCACACCAGTGTGCCGCGGCACACCGTTTGGGAAACACTGCACTAGAGGTTAGTGGAATGACAGAATGGAACTCTACTGTATCGCCACGTGATGATTTCTTCAAAAGCGCATGGATATAAAATACGGGAATTTCCTGATGGAAACGGGAGCTTCTCGCATAAATAAAGTACTTGAAACCATTTCAAGGCCAATGAAAATTTGCATATCGTTTCTTCTCATTTATAAGTTCAATGGGGGAATGGAACTCTCATGCATCGCTGCGTGAGTAAATATTAAATTTACAAGGATATGAAATACGGGAATTTTCTGATGGAAACGGGATGTCCTCCCGCAAATAAAGTGCTTGCAACCATTTCAAGGTCAATGAAAATTTGCATGCCCGCAAGACTTTCGTAAGGAAAAAGCTCGTCCGGTCAGAGGGAGAGAGAGAGATAATTTGCAAGAGCTCTTCGAAGCAGGGACTAAGCCGCTTCAAATGTATAGGAAAATGCAGTCTAGAGCTGGCTTAGAAGCCATTCGGCACGGGAATGTCTCAGGATTCGGAAGATCGGTGACATTATTTCAAAAATTTTCCAAATTTAGCGCGGCTATCGGAACGATCTGCCAATGAAGTTCACGACAGCCTTGAGAGGTGTCACCAGGAATGGAATGAACCGACAGCTGGAAAACGCGTTAAAGGTTTCCTACAAGTTCACGGAGTCCATCCAATAATTTTAATATTCTTTAATGAAACGAGCGTGAGGCTCTTCCAAAAGGCGACCAGACGTCCCGATTTAGGCGGGACAGTCCCACTTTCAGACCACATGTTCCGGTGTCCCCGTGTCCCCCGATGAAGTAAGCGGGACGCCCAAATGTCCCACTTTTGGAAAATGTCGAAGACAGAATGACATGACGATCGAATTGCGAGTTTCAAAACTTCTCCTAAACAATATAGCATCGAGCCAAACCTATTTAATATCATGATTATGACTAGCATACCTCGAGTCTTTTTTTTTATCTAAGGCAACTGCGTAGATATAAGTAGGCAATGCGAATTCGGATTACCGAACAGCAAAGGAGCCTAAAAACATGCTAACCCTTGCTGGCAGGCACCTGCTCGTTCACACTGCAGACAGTGAGGCCGGCCTCCTTGCTCTCGTTTACTTTTATTTTACGTGAGCAAAGTGATACCCTTATAGTTGTCTGAGTCAGCGGAAGCCTCCAGGCTCTATCTTCCCATCCGTGATTCTGGACAGGAGTCGACTTTCAGAGACCGGACTTGGATCATTTTGGGTCAATTGAGAATGAATCTGCAATAAAGTGAAAATGTCACGGAAGTGCTTTGCACATGCGACGCTGCTGAAATTTTTTCTGAATAAGGAAGGACCACGACTGTCGATGAAAGTCATGAATAACGTACAGGTTAACGAATTTCCAGTTGCATGTCTGCGCTGCGAAATCTGGGCTGAATCCCGAAATTAACTCTGTTTATCTTCAGCATTGTTTCAAATGTCGCATGCGCTTGTGTTATTTACCAGCGAGTTTGTTTGCTTGAAGGGCAAACAAACTCGCTATGGTTGCGCCTTCAGCGCTCCATCATCTAGTATAGTGATTAAATCATTAATACATTTTTTCGAAATCATTACTCCGATGATTTCTTGGGTGCCTAATTTCAAATCTCTTTATGCGCCCCTTTTTGTCGGAGCGGAAAATAAGTATTGAAGTACTTCCCTTCCATAGTCCGCCCTTAGGGGACATATTTCAAAAGTAGGATTTTCTCTTTACAATTGTCAGT